AAGTGAAAAGAGAAGTAGAAATACATACCAGGTCACATAGTGATTCAGTGAGAGAGCAGGGCTGGTCCCAGGATCTTCCTTCTTTCTGCTCCATGCTCTTTTACTATTCTGCACTGACTCTGTCTTTGCAGCATAGTGTTTTAGGACCCATTTAAGAGGAGATATGACGCAGAAAAAGGCAACATTGGAGTTCATACAGACTTGTCTTCTGATCTTGCTGCTGCCATTTACCAGCTGGTGTCTAAATGAGGGAAGATATTTGCCACTGATGCAAACCATATGATAAGGGGTTAATATTCAAAATATATTTTTACAAAACTTATACAACTCAACACCAAAAAACAGGGACTTCCGCCAAGATGGAGGCATAGGTGGATGTGCTGTGCCTTCTCACACAACCAAGTTTAGAGACAACTAAATATTAGCAACAGAAAACACAGTCAGAACACGGAAAATTGAACTTTTCAGAAGTTCGTTAACAACAAATTCTTCAGCCTGACCGGTAAGGGGCAAAACCAGTGGCTGGTGAAGCGGGGTTGCACAGGAGGACTCGGGATTGCACAGGAGGACTCGGCCAACGTGAACTCAGGCGCACGGAATCCAGGCGCATGGTTGGACCTAGTGAGTGACCGAGCGAGCGACCTCGGGGGAGACAACGGGGCAGCGGGGCTGCGTGTTGACTGTGGTTGCGCATTTGTGCGTGGGTGGACAGGCGAGGGAGTGGGCGGTTGGACCGGGGCCAGCGGGGCCAGCGGATCCCCGCAGCAAGTGTCAGGGAGAGCGCCGCCATTTCCCTGCTCTGACCCCACTTCCACATGCAGCGTCACACCCCAGCAACCAGGGAGTCCAAGGCTCCGCTTCTCACACTTAAAGGGCCAGAACAGACCAAAAATGGCGCAAAAAGATCTCAAAGCCCCAGAGCCTATAGATCTAAGCGATGAAGAAATAACAAAACTCTCAGACGCACAGTTTAAAACACTGGTGATCAGGATCCTCACAGAACTGGTTGATTATACGGACAAATTAGACAAATATATGAAGGCGAAACTAATTGAAATGAATGGAATTGCACAGGACACCAATAGCAATGAAAAGGAAACTGGGACTCAAATCAATGGAGTGGACCAGAAGAAAGCAAATAATGGCCAAACAGAAAAGAGTCAAGAAGCAAGAATTCAAAGAAATGAGGAGAGTCTTAGGAACCTCCAGGACATCTCTAAACGCTCCAACATCTGAATTATAGGGGTACCAGAAGGGGGAAAGACACAGCCACCAGTGGAAAACTTATTTGAACAAATAATAAAGGAGAATTTCCCCAATCTGGCAAAGGAAATAGACTTCCAGGAAATTCAGGAAGCTCAGAGAGTCCCAAAGAAGTTGGACCCAAGAAGGAACACACCAAGGCACATCATAATTACATTAGCCAAGATTAAAATGAAGGAGAGAATCCTAGAAGCAGCAAGAGCTAAGGGGACAGTCACCTACAAAGGAGTCCCCATCAGACTGTCAGCAGATTTCTCAAAAGAGACCTTCCAAGCAAGAAGGGGCTGGAAAGAGGTATTCCAAGTCATGAAATCCAAAGACCTACAACCAAAATTGCTCTATCCAGCAAAGTTTTCATTTAGAATGGAAGGACAGATAAAGTGCTTCTCAGATAAGATCAAATTCAAGGAGTTCATCATCACCAAGCCCTTATTATATGACATGTTAAAGGGACTTAGAAAAAGAAGTTTAAAAAAACATGAACAGTGAAAGGACAACAAACTCACAGTTATTAACAACCACACCTAAAACAAAAGCAAACTAAAAGGACAGCTAGATCAGTAGTGGAAACATAGAAATGAAGATCTCAAGGAGGGTTAGCAACAGGGGAGCGGGAGGAGGAGAAGGGGGGAGAAGGTACAGAAAATAAGTAGCATAGACAATAGATAGAAAATAGCTGGGGGGCAAGAATAGCGTGGGAAATATAGAATCTAAAGGACTTGAGAGACACGGTCATAAACTAAAGGGGGGTAATCGTGGGGGTGGGGGGGTAAGGGTGGAGGGGAATGAAAGCAGGAATAGAACAACTGTAACAGCATAATCAATAAAAAATTTAAAAAAACACCAAAAAACAAACAATTCAATTTATTTTAAAATATATAGTCTGCATTATATTTTCCATTACCATTAGTCCCTTTATAACTCCTCCCCAGCAATCACCACAGTGTTATCCATGTCCATGAGTCCTTTTTCTTTTTTTGTTCAATACTTCCACCCCCAACCCCCACCCCACTATTGTCATTTGTTCTCTATCTATGAGTCTATCTCCGTTTTGCTTGTTAGTTCAAACAGTTCAATTTAAAAATTCGTAGAGAGCCCTGGCTGGTGTAGCTCAGTGGATTGAGCATGGGCTGTGAACCAAAGGTCACTGGTTCAATTCCCAGTCAGGGCACATGCCTGGGTTGTGGGCCTGGTCCCCAGTGAGGGCTACATGAGAGGCAACCACACATTGATGTTTCTCTCCCTCTTTCTCCTTCTCTTCCCCTCTCTGTAAAATTAAATAAATAAAAACCTTTAAAAAATTCATAGAGGACTACATACAGATTGATCAGTAGACATGTAGAAACATGCTCAACCTCACTAGCCATCAGAGAAATGCAAAGTAAAACCAGAATGGTTATTACCTCATACCCATCATAATGGCCATCATCAATTAATCAACAAACAACAAGTGCTGACGAGGCTGTGGAGAAAAGAGAACCTTTGTTCACTGTTGGTGGGAATGCAGACTGGTGCAGCCACTGTGGAAAATAGTGTAAAGCTATGTGGACAAATTAAATATGGAACTGCCTTATGACCCAGCAATTCTACTTCTGGGGATTTATTCTAAGAAACCCGCAACACTAGTTAAAAAGAATATATGCACCCCTATGTTCATTGCAGCTTTACAATAACCAAACTATGTAAGCAAACCCAGTGCCTATCAATGGACAAGTGGATAAAAAAGCATTGATACCAATATACACAATGGAATATTACTTGGCAATAAAAAAGAAGGAACTATTATAATTCATGACAATATGGGTAGACATAGAGACATTATGCCAAGTTAAATAAGTCAGTCAGAAAAAGACAAATACCATATGATTTCAGTTATGTGTGGAATCTAATGAATAGACTAAATGAAAAATAGCAACAAACTCATAGATACAAAGAACATATTGTCAGTTGCCAGAAGGGAAGGAGTTCAGAAGACTGGATGAAAAAGGTGAAGAAATTAGGAAGTACATAATGGTGGTCACAAAATATTCATAGGGATGTAAAGTATGCCATAGGAAATATAGTCACTAATATTGTAATAACTGTGCATGGTGCTAGGTGGGCACTAGAAATATAGGGAGGAATACATACCTACATAGTACCTACTATGTACTGCAGAGATATTTCCTTCAGAAATAATGCAGAGGTATTTCATTATTATAGCATATGTAACTCCCTTAACATAAGCCTATTTTATAACAAGTGCCTATTAAATGGTAGGGGTTTTTCCCTTCAGAGACCTTAAATTCACTGTTCCTCAGGTAAGTCATGTCCTCTTCAAAAGTCATCCCTGAAATGCAAAGGTTGTAGTGGGATGATTTTTAACAATTCCTTCAAGCCCAGCAATTTTGGAGCCATTTGACAAAGCAAATTAAAGGAGGGAGGAAGGAAGAAAGGGAGGGAAAGAAAAGGAATTTTTTGCTGGCTTGGTTACAAATGACTCTCCTACATGAAATAACCTACTGTAATAGATGTTTTCTGTGCCTGAATCATGCATTTTAAGTCAAGTGAAGGGAGAGGAAAGCCAAGCAGTAGCTGAATTTGTTGGGGTGGTGGTGAGGGCTTCCTACTATCAAATAGCCATTGCTCTTCAAATTTTTCCTTTCCTTACCACAGACCATCCTCCTCTGCCAGAAGAATCATCTGTAAAACCCCAGTCTATCCTATAAACTACAGAAAGCACAGCAGTAAATGAAAGAAAAACAACCAGGGGCTCAAAGAAAGAAAGGGGTGGAGCAAGCGGATGTTCAGGCTCATGCTGGAGCAGGGTGGCAAGCATGAGAGGTTCTCTTTGTTGTAGAGCAACAGGGCATGTATCTCTATTTCTGCTGGTTACTCTATATGTTCGTGGATCTCTCTGTTCCACTTGTGTATTCATTCAGTCAGTCAATTTTTATTGAGGGCCTACTATGTGCCAGACCTGTGTTAGGAACAAAGAGGCAAAGTATTGAATAAAATATGCTTTTGAGTGAACCTCTATGTCCTTCTTTCAGGTGCTGGAATTCTAAGGATGTCTGTGTGTTTGTGTATGTATATTTCTTTGTATCTGTGATAGTTCCAGGTGTGTATGACAGTGATAATTTTCTTGTTCTGGTTTCAGAAGACTTCCTTTCACTTGCTGTGATTCACTTCAAAAACAATGGGCTTTGTCTCTGTTTGAGTTTTACAACTTGCAAGATACAATTTAAAAACAACTAGAAATCCCATGAAGTTATCTTTTATAGAAGTTTTACCTATATTTGTATCAGGAAAAATAACACATTAGTTGGAGTATGATCCCATGCATGACTACAAGAATCAGGAAGAAGAAACATTACCTGAGTCCAACTCTCTGCTGTGTCATGCTAGAGGAGTGACAATTTCTGCCATTAATCATTTTCTCATTGACATTCTTGGCTTTAATAAAGGTAGATAGAACATCTTATTTAAAACAACCAGTCAGTAGTCCTGATAAAGGAGATGTCATCAGGCCCTGAATTATTCATACTTATGAAAAGCAAACATTATAGTATTGAATTAAATTAGCTTGGTTTAATAGTTAGATTCTGTGTGATCAAATTGTTTAATGCCATTCTCTGTTCCTTCTCTCATCTAGCAGGATATATTTTCATGTTCTTTCTGCCGCCTACAAATTTTTAAGAAGAGAGACTCTAGAAAAATGTTAATGGGACTGTCTATTCTTATATTTGTTCTCCCAGGGAAACAGAAGTACCTGTGTGCCAGCAGAAATGATTGTACCATTGATAAATTCCGAAGGAAAAATTGTCCATCTTGTCGCCTCCGGAAATGCTATGAAGCAGGGATGACTCTGGGAGGTATGATACTCTTATTTCTTTTTCTCTTCTTTACTCTCCCTCATTATCTTGTTCTGTCTTTAAACCAGATTTTCCTCTTTGATTTTTCCAAGGAGGCCAGCCATGTTCTAGATAGAGGCTGACCCCTTCATTTCAACATGGCTGTCGGCCAGCCGGTGCCTTTCTTTATTCTTAACCATGCCACATCCCACTCTGGGGCCAGGCATAGGAGCAGGAGATGTGAAGCAGGGAACAGGACCCATCAGAGGGTGAGTGAGTGTGGATTTGACTATAAAAGGTTCCCCAGGGGACATACTGGTACTAGCTTTATGTTGATAAATGGAGGCTAGAATGAGAGAACTAAGGAATCCAGAACAATTGCAGGTGCAGGATGACCCAGGCACAGGCTGGCCTTGAACACCCAAGAATATCCTTCAGTTAACTGCTGCCAATATTGTAGGGTTGACCACTTAGAAAGAGAAGCCGCTTCTCTTTGGAACCTATGACTAGGCTGCCAAGCGGAGCCAATTTCCTATCCCACACCTCCTAGGGATGAACAGGCCTTTTAATCATTTCCTTTTCTTTGCAAATCTATTGATCATTTCCAAAAGCTTTTTTTGGTAGCACAGTAGCTTGACAGAGGTAAGATACAGCTCTTTCAAGGGTGACCCTATCCCATCATAAGGCTCTCTGTTCCCTAGTCTGTGTCTATCATGAGCACTGTCACCATTCCAGAAGGGCTTAGCTAACACTTAATCTCACCCCCCAAAATTCCTCATTTCTTCATGTTTACATCGACTTAATACCAGACTCCTTTCTGCTGCCTGTTGCCTCCAGAAAGACTCACCATTCATGAGAAAAGCAAGCTCATTAGTCTACTTTGATTTCAAAATGGAACTTGAGGAAAGACAAGTCTATTCCTGAATGCCTAAAAGTGTAACTTCATATCTGATTACTTATTATCAGCCTGGAAAACCTAATCACCTAGACTCCTGCTCTCTCCCTTCCTCATCTCTAGGCTAATTTAAAGCACTTGTGCATCTCTGGCTTTTCGCAACATGCTCAATACCTTGTCTGCCTATGAGCATATTTATAAAAAACAACTTCTTTTCTAACTACGTCTGAGTGTTTATGTGGATAGCTATATCCTCCTCTCCTTACAGACCAGTAATAGTCCTTAAACAGACCAAAGTACTACAAATAAATTGACCCCAGCTCAATTCGAGACGGTTTTAACAGAAGCATCTCAAGTAGTGTCTAGTATTCCCAGATATGGTACACAGATGCTCTGTGAGTGGTTTTCCAGGCAGCCACATCAAATGAAACTCAAATATCTGAAGAAAATCAACCTTGTTCTTGTTTACTTGCCTTACTCCAGATAAATCACAATTGCAGTGGGGAGGAAGTAATGAGACTGGAATGGGGTAGTGCAGAAGGAAAGCAAAAGGATTGACAAAGGGAGGTTTTACATACAAATGTTATGACCCCATGTGAGGTTTCTGATATGCTGAATTCTCAATTATTTAGCTATGAATTGTGTATAAGAGCTGGAGGCTCCAGGTAGAGAATCCCTTGATTTTCCATCTGCTGATATGAATTATATACCTGCTTTGATGCCTGTAAATCCTAATGGCAAGCAAAGTCCTTATAACATTTGGGTCCAAATCTTAAAATTAGTTTCATGTCTCAGCCAGCATGTTCCATTATAAAGCAGACTATGATGTAATTACAGTGAGCCCCTTTGAAAAACAGTAGATGATTTTACTACTGCTTATAACAGGAATAAATCTATAAATTTTTCTAAGTCCAGTGCACTCTCCTTGGCTGCCAGTTATACTGATGTCTCACAAACCATTTTCGTTATATTAACAATGGCTGGACTTTTTTGGACAGACCTCATATTATGTTCATGTACCATGCAGTAAGAACCCAAGTGTTTACCTCTTAAACAGCATTGTTTGAAAAACAAACATTTCCACTTTTCTAAATTTTTGTCTATATTCTTTGCTTCCCTGCTGCAAACACAAGTTTATTGCTAACTTTCAAATTCAATATATCACACTTTTACTCAAACAATGGAAAAAAATAAACCATTAATTCAGAGGGGCCTTTCTGAATTCTTTAGCAATAGACTTCACTCTTTATAATACTTTAATTTTGCCTACACATTTTGATCACCTTGAAGGATAACTCATGTAATTCAGTTTTATTTTTACTATCACTCAGCTCCAAATTGTGTAAGATTTTCCAAAGTGGAAATGGGATGTAGCCTTGGACAAGTCTCTCCTCTCCTCTGAGACTGAGTTTTCCCATTATAAAATTGGCGTGGTGGGCTTTACCAGGAACCTTTCCGGCACTACCATTTGCGATTTTATCTCTTAGGTCACAGAGAAAGAATTTTAAGTTTATCAGTTTGTTGTTTGGATTGTCTATCCACTGCTTCCAGAAGTATAGATAGTCTAGACTTGAGTGCTTTGACCTGCAGAGTAATTTTAGCTATCTCAAGTCATGCCAAAATAAGATATATTATGTGTCTGGATAGATTCGACTGGATAGATTATTGAGGGAGTGGAAGCCAGAACTGTCATTCTATCTTAAAGAAGCTGGTACTCAGCAGCTGATGGCTACTTGGTTTTCAGGACTCAAAGTCTCTAATTTGGTTTTCTCTATGAATGTTCCATCTACTATTTGGTGATGGGATCTCTGAAACTCAGAGATACCTAAAACACATACCCCTTTTCTTCCTGCTTCTAGTCCTATCTACCTCTTCATTGTTTTTTTTTTTTTCATAGTATCACTTGATGTTTATGAAGGGATCCTGGAGGTGACTGGATTCTCAGGGTAGTTTCCTTGAAGACCACCTCCAGGTTTTCAGCTTCCCATCCATGACAACGACAGGCCTTTTTTGTACATGGTTCATTGCTAGCTGCTTTTGAAAAAATCATATATTGCTAACCGCTTCAATAATCAAACTCTCTTGCCGACTTTTCGCTTAAGAAAATATAAATATATTTCTTAAAATATTTAAGTAGGCATTTTGGAGGCATTTATAAAAATATAAATATAACTCTAGAGAAGGACCTTCTCTCCAGTGAATTAGTTGTGTTTTTTTTCACAGCCTATAATTAGAATAGTGCACAGGCATCTCTCATTTTTCTCTGTATTTCTTAAGGATGTGCTCTCAGTTTCCAAGATGGAATGAGAAAGAAATAATTCATCTTATCTGCCATCTTCTCCCCTGACCCTTCCCTTCTTTTCACTTTCTCTCCTGTTCCCTCATATACATTATTTCTTTTTGTGTTTTGTAACTCCTGGGTTCTCAGCCTCCAATAAATGGTATTTGGTCCCTGCTACTTTCTCCTTTCTTGGACCAAGGAAGATGGTAGATACTTTAAGATTTCAGGTAGTAACCAAACCCCAAAATAGGAGAAGAAACATGAATCCTAGAGCATGTGAGAATCTGAGGTGTACACCATTTTCTTCAGGGGCTATTCTATAATATTTGAGAATCATCTTTTCTACTAGGAGATTGAACTCCACATCTGAGACCTAAACCTGTTAACAGATCTACAGGTTTTAACAACTTCTACAATTCTCTAGTTGAGAGTATGGCTTAGAGAGCCCTTGGCCATGATCTAATGTTGTTATGGATACTTTTTTCCCAGTATTGAAGACAGTCTTGGTGTCAGGCCTTTCATCATTTTCCATGCTCAAGAGCAGCCCAGTATTGATACTTCTGTATCACATGTCCTGTATGCAAGAGAGTGATTCCAATGCCAAAGTACTATTCATGGAATGGTTCTTCAGCAGACAAGTTTTACTGTATTTATTTGTCCATTTATTTATCTATCCATCCTTCTAACAAGCCAACTAAATATTCCTTCCATCTTTTCATCTATTCATCTATGTGTTTGTTTAAACAGATATTTATTGAGTTCCAACTATGTGCTAGTCCTGACAGTAGGCACTTTGGAGGATTGGAGATGAATAAGATATGGTCCTTGCCCTCAAAAAGTTAAACAAGGGGAAAAATAGTGATGATGAATATACCTTACTCTTAAAGGATAAATAAGAATGACTATAAAGATGTTGAGTGAGACAGACAGGAAATGGTATTCAAGGCAAAGGGCACAGAGACATAAAAATGCATTGAAGGTTTGAGGATTAGCAAGTAGTTTAATATGGTTAGATCTTGGGAAATTGGGAAGACAGGCTGGAACCACAATAAAAATGGATGTGATTATCACTTCTAGGCCTTTGGCTCAGATCAAATGTAAAAATGGATGTGGTTATTATGCTAAAAGGTTTGGACTTCAGGCAGTTGAAGCTCTATGACATGGGATAGACATTCACATATCATTTTACTTGCTTATTTGTTTTTAAAGATAATTAGTGGTAACATGAATGCTGCATAGGTGAGGGCTTAAATTGTAGAAAAAGAGATAGTAGACCAGGGAGAGAGAGAGAGAGAGAGAGAAATATGTAACATTAACTTCGCTAAACACCTGGGATTGTAGCCTTGGATCCTAGGGTTAGATTCATATAAACCAGTGTTTTCCCATGTGGATTCTGAGAAAACTAGTTCCATGAAGTGATCCACAAAAAATGATTTCTATAGTCAAATAAGTTAATAAAATGTGACTATTATGCTCCTTCTCAAGATGATTTACTGTCCATGTTTACATTTCACAAACCTCAAATACTGCAATAAAGTGAGGAGCTTAGTAACTCAGGATTCCCAAATTTAATTCAACCACAGAACCATTTTTTCATGTAACACTTGTTAATATCCTAAAAAGTACTGCATTCTGGGATACATTTTGGAAAACTTGGGTATATATAAATATTCTATCCTCTAGGCAGACAATACACCTAATCTGGGTCATCCGTTTTTCAAACATGCATGTGAAAAAGGAAATCCTACCTTTTGCTACAGGATGGATGAACCTGGAGAGTATTATGCTAAGTAAAATAATCCAGAAGAGAAATACCATATGCATGATCTCACTTATATGTGAAAT